TACCCAGGCTGGAGTGCAATGGCGCGATCTCGACTCACCGCAACCTCCGCCTCCTGGGTTCAGGCAATTCTCCTGCCTCAGCCTCCTGAGTAGCTGGGATTACAGGCGTGCACCACCATGCCCAGCTAATTTTTTGTAGTTTTAGTAGAGATGGGGTTTCGCCTTGTTGACCAGGATCGTCTTGATCTCTTGACCTCGTGATCCACCCGCCTCGGCCTCCCAAAGTGCTGGGATTACAGGCATGAGCCACCGTGGCCGGCCCCACTTTCATTATTTTTAATTTACTTGTTTTGAGACACAGCTCCATTTTGTTACCCAGGCTGGATTGCAGTGGCATGATTACAGCTCACTCACTGTAGCCTTGACCTCAGGTGATCCTCCCACCTCAGGTGCCACAGTAGCTAAGACTGGAGGTGCATGCCACCATACCCGGCTAATTTTTGTATTTTTTGTAGAGACGTGGCTTCGCTGTGTTGCCCAGGCTGGTCCTGAACTCTTGGATTCAAGTGATCCATATGCCTAGGCCTCCCCAAGTGCTGGGATTACAGGAGTGAGCCAGCTTGCCCAGGCATGACATTTTAAACATACACACCTGGATAATCAGCTCTGCTGACCCACCTTACCTACTGTTGCCTGTGGCATTGATTCATACATTTCACTGTTTTCAGTGGGAGCTGCTCAATCAGAGAATAGGAGTTCTGAATTAGAAAGTATGGATCTGAACTGTAAATACACCACTTACTAAAGTTTTTTTTTCTTTTTTTTTTAAGAGATGAGGTTTCACCATGTTGGCCAGGCTGGTCTTGAATTCCTGACCTCAGGTGATCCACCCACCTCGGCCTCCCAAAGTGCTGGGATTACAGGTGTGAGACACTTAAAGTGTTTAGTAGGCCTACTGAAGTATTTTGAGACCTTGGGTAGGTTACTTAAGTTTTCTGAGTCTCTATTTATTAGTCTGTAAAATGAGGGCAATATTACTTCATAATATTTTTTTTTTTTTTTTTTTGAGACACACAGTCTTGCTATCACCCAGGCTGGAGTGCAGTGGTACAATTTCGGCTCACTGCAATTTCCACTTCCCAGGTTGAAGTGATTCACGTGCCTCAGCCTCCCAAGTAGCTGGGATTACAGATGAACCACCACACTTGGATATTTATTGGTGTTTTCAGTAGAGACAGGGTTTTGCCATGTTGGCCAAGCTGATCTCAAACTCCTGACCTCAAATGATCCACCCACCTCAGCCTCCCAAAGTGCTGGGATTACAAGTGTAAGCCACTGTGCCTGGCCCATAATTTCTAATATTATTTTCACATAGGATTATTGTGAAAACTCACTAAAATAATGTGTAAAAAGCACCCTGGGCCAGGTGTGGTGGCTGATGCCTGTAATCCCAGTACTTTGTAAGGATGAGGCAAGAGGACTGCTTGAGCCCAGGAGTTTAAGACCAACCTGGTCAACATGATGAAACCCTGTCTCTACTAAAAATACAACACCAAACAACAACAACAAGAACAAAACCAGAGCCAAGCATGCTGACATGTGTCCGCTGTCCCAACCACTTGGGAGGCTGAGTTGGGAGGATCACCTGAGCTTTGATGGCTGAGGCTGCAGTGAGCCTTAGCGTGACACTGAACTCCAGTCTAGGTGACAGGAGTGGGACTCTGTCTCAAAAAATAAAATAAGTAAGACTTTGCTAAGTAAATGGTCCTTTTTTTTTTTTTTCTGACATGAAGTCTCGTTCTGTCACCTAGGGTGGAATTCAGTGGCATAATCTAGGCTTACTGCAACCTCCACCTGCCGGGTACAAGCAATTCTCCTACATCAGCCTCTCAAGTAGCTGGGATTACAGGCCTGTGCTACTATAGTCAGCTAACTTTTGTATTTTTAGTAGCGACAGGGTTTTACTATGTTGGACAGGATGGTCTCAAACTCCTGACTTCAAGTAACCCGCTTGCCTCAGCCTCCCAAAGTGCTGAGACTACAGGTGTGAGCCACTGTGCCCAGGCAAGTAAACGATACTTTTAATATTATCGTCATCATCTATTGTTGGCTAAAAAAAATCAAGGGAGGGAAATAAGAAAAAGCCAAGAGGGGATATGCTGAAGTAACCCCTTAAGCTTTGGAAAGTGAACTATCACTACCTTAAAGAAAAGTTGAAAACCTCTGATGAGAGTTTTACTCTTCTGTCTTGTTAATAATGTTCTCCAGATGACTGAAAGGTCCTCAAGGTTCCAGGCGTGGTCCTCTATTGAGTCCTGAATGTGTCCCATTGCTTCAGCTGCAACACCGTCCTCCACAGAAGTGATGATCCAAACACAGAGACAAGAAACAGCACTGGCATCCTGCCACGAGATAAATAAAATAACAACTAGGCCTGGATTACCTGGCAAATGTACGAATGCTACAGATGGGTATTTCCTGTTTGGAATAACTTACCCAACTTAAATTAGTTAAAATGGCTTGAAAAGCCTTCAAACATGAAACAAACTAGTGAGCAATCAAGGGAACGTTCTAAACTGTCCTGCAGAGTATTGCAGATCAAAACACCAAGAAGCAGACGGAAGGGGATATATGTCCAAGTCAGGGAAGTACTAACCATGAGAGTAGAATTGCCCTCCACTCATCTGCTGATTAAAGGACTGTCTGGAATGTTCCTCCTCCCTGCTAAAGAAGGCACTAAAGAAACAGTAGTGGTCAGTCCACCAAATCATCCTCCTCTGTGACTGCCAACCGGGAACCAAGGCTTTGATCACTTGAGTTCACTGAACGTCAAAGCACAAGAAAGTACATGAAATGGCCCAGAGCCTAAGCTAGAGAAGCACAAAAAGCTGCAGTCAACTTGGAAACACATACTGGAACCACATCCATCAGAACCATCAGAACTTCTGATGATCAGCCTTTCCTGTCCAACACTTATTCTATTGTTGTCTGGGTACTTAATTTAGGGTCCTCATGATCCTCACCTGAAGACATGAGGCCAGAACACTGAGGATAGGGGCCTGTTGTTTCACTGCTTCAACAAGAAGCCAGTGCCAGGAGTCTGGCTCCTCTGAACACTGTAGCAGAATTCCAAATAAATCCGTCATCTCTTCTTTGCTTCCCTGGAGTTCCTGCGGGGACTTATTACAGACTTGATTGCTGTCCATTTTGGAGGAGGGCACTGAGGGCAAGTTCTCAAAAGCCAGCCTTAAGTGGTCTTGAACAACTGGGCTGAAGTACTGGATAAGGGATTTCACCTAGAAAGCATATCACATGATTAAATAGAAACTCAACTTTCAGTTTCAGCTGGAGCTGAAAATGTTAGAGAAAAGCAAAGGCAAAATTATTCTTTTTCACCCTGAACTAAGTCAGAAGTGACTACTATATAATTTTACAAAGTTGTGTGGTGCTTTTGAGTGAATTTCCATATTGAATCTGAAGTCACAAAAACCTTTCAGCTCTTCAGTACTAATGACTAGTACCTTATCTGATGACAACCCACTGAAATCTTAGGAAAAATAGTATTATATGAAACAAAACCCCACATATCCAGTATATATCCTAGATGTAAAAAAAAGGCCTATGTCTACACAGCAGAAAGAACACTATCTTCTGAGAAGTTTTCCTATTTCCTCTTGAGTGACTACTAACAATCAGTGGCTTACCTCTGCTGGGTGGTAGTTGTGGAGTTGGCTGTGAATAATGAACTGCAGCCAATCATTTGCTTTGGCACATTCTTTAAGGTAAGACAAGCTCAGTTTCATATTGTGTAGCCTGCAGAACTGTACCACTAAGGCCCACTGGCTGCTGGATTCACCGGATAACCTATAATTAGAATTAGAGGTGGGGGTGGTCAAGAAAAAAAAAAAACTCATAAAAATACAGCTTTAGTTTGAACTGGAAAATGAGTAAAAATTATATAAATTTAAGTACAGTACATTCTCTAACAAATACTAATATTTATTAGGCTACTCTGAAAAAAGTAGATTCATTCACCCATAAGGCAGAATAGCTAGCTTAGCATACTGGCACAATTGATTCCTTCCCCAAATCATCAATCACACTGGCTGTGTAGCATCTTAGAAAAACTGAAGAAGATGTTTGTCAAGAAATTTTCTGAGTGCTAATTCTCTTGCACTATTCACTTTGGAGTACTCAGAGCCCTGGCTGGTGCCTGGGCCTCCTCACCAGGGGGAGGGTACATGGTTCCTGCTGCAAGCAGGATATTGGCAAGAACAGAATCAGTGACAGGATGTACACAAAAAGCGTGCACTCTCAGGGTCTGGAATGGTTAGGTCAGCCCCAGTGGGGCAGCAGAGAGAAAAGAAGGCATGAAGTGTAAGATATGCTTTTATGTACAGTCGCTTCAGCTTCAATTATCAACTGACATACTAAAAAGAAAAAATTAAGAACATCATTTAATGTCAAATTTTGGGAGACCCATCCCACATCATCCTCCTCTTCTCCTTCATTTTTTCCAATCCTCCAAGACATCCGAACCCATGTCTTCTGGCATTTCAACATGTATAATTTAAAAGACTTCTTTGACTAGCAGGGCAGTGGAGGAGACAAACTGCTCACTGTCTCTTGGTAAGTCCATCTCTAAAGAGAGAATTGGTATCTTCACTCTCTTTTCACTGATAGCAAGATGCAATCAAAATCATTGTCCATTTACTGAGTATCTGCTATATGCTAGATAAAAAAGGTAACGTCTAGGGAGATTTTGGTGAATACACCAGAGGTGTTCAAAGAAAAACGAGGCAAACACAGGCTGGCACAATAAGCTTGTTAGAATAGAGGCTGGGACTGCAACTCACAAACCTCATTATTTCCTGTTGCTGAATGCTGTTCCATGTACCTTCTTCTAAGAGAACAAGCAATTCTTCTGTGGTTGCCTTTTCACCATCAGCTAGTTTAGACAGTTTTTCAGCTGTAAGAAATAGAAGCAACAAAATATGGTCAAGAGAAAAAGTCAGAACCTGAGCATTTCTGTTTGAATAGTGTGGCTCAGGGCCACTTCAGAACCCAATCAACACGCCCAACAAAGTGACATAAAGAAAACACACTCTGAAGGAAAAGGATAAAATGAGGAAGATAACCATTTTCTCCTCAAGCACTCACAATTCAATGCCTTAGGCCTATTCACGCCTTCTCTAAACAGAGCTGGCCAGATAAAGAAAAGGTGCTGTACCTATAGACTCTCTGATAAAACTGTACTGAGCATCTTCATTTCTACACTTGTAGCTCAAAATTATATTGGCTACTTTCATATCAACTCTGAGCTTGAGGCTGTCAAGTCCAAGCAATTCTAAGAAACAGACACATGCAGCTCCTGTTGAAGGTACGTGGAAGGAGGAGAGCCCTAAAACATAGGCTTCATTGCCTACTTGCTGGATCCTGAAAAAGAAAGGAATATCACATCAGCACGTGAAAATTATTTCTCACTGGGAAAAGCAAATGGAATTACATCAGTGACACATGGAGTGCCAGCCATGTGATTTTTGGCTTCTTCCCCCTGCCCTTTTGCCCCTTGCATGGACTCGTTTAGGTTCCTGGTAGTTTTCAGTTGTTTGGCACAAGAGCCCCCCATTCTCTTAAGTTGATTTTCTAAAACAATTAGTCATAGTCTCAATTATTCTTGCTTCCAACTTCATTCAAAAGACATGAAGTACAACTTCTGAAAGACTGCCAACTTGTGATCTTATCAATTATGAGTATGTATACAAACTACCAAGAATATTAAAGCCACTTAAATTTAAGTTTGACATTATAAAGCACATTTTAAAGAACTCATATAGGCCTTTTATAGGAATAGAAAATTTCTGGAAAGACACATAAGAAATTATTAACCATGCTTTTACCATGTGGAAAGGGAGGCTGAGAGACTTTTATCTTTCATTTTCACCTTTCTGAACTACCTGAATATCTTACTATAAAAAAAGTATTACTTTGTTAGTGATAAAACAAACTAATAAAAGAACTCTGTATTTAGCTGTTACAGTAAATGCTCTTCTGAATTCTGTGCTTTATAAAAATGAGTAATTAAATGAATTATTTAAAGATATTAAATACAGAATCCAAATCTCATCATATAATTCCCCTTTTAAAAAATTTTACTGCCGGGCGCGGTGGCTCAAGCCTGTAATCCCAGCACTTTGGGAGGCGGAGGCGAGTGGATCACGAGGTCAAGAGATCGAGACCATCCTGGTCAACATGGTGAAACCCCGTCTCTACTAAAACTACAAAAAATTAGCTGGGCATGGTGGTGCGTGCCTGTAGTCCCAGCTACTCAGGAGGCTGAGGCAGGAGAATTGCCTGAACCCAGGAGGCGGAGGTTGCAGTGAGCCGAGATCGTGCCATTGCACTCCAGCCTGGGTAACAAGAGCGAAACTCCATCTCAAAAAAAAAAAAAAAAAAAAATTTTTACTTTAAGTCCTGGGATACATGTCCAGAATGTGCAGGTTACATAGGTATACATGTGCCATGGTAGTTTGCTGTACCTATCAACCCATTTGCTGTACCTATCATCTAGGTTTTAAGCCCTGCATGCATTAGGTATTTGTCCTAATGTTATCCCTCCCCTGGAATTCCCTCTTAAACTGCTAATACTTGACAAGCTCCTGTATGATTTTAAATTTTATTAATTTACAAAATACATTTATCTTTTTTCCAATTAACAGAAATCACATACACTAAATGCCAAAAACTTGGGACACACAAGGAAGCACAAATTAAAACCATAACAACAATCACCATTCAAATGTAATCACTGTTAACTGTGGTATGTTTCCAGTATGTTTTTCAATGTATGTGTAAAATGTTAGACAAATATGCCTTTTTTAATAATAAAAATTATATATTATTTTTTTAGTAGAAGAGTCTCACTGTCGCCCAGGCTAGAGTGCCGAAGCGAGACCATAGCTCACTGACTCCTTGAACTCCTGGGCTCAAGTGATCCTCCTGCTTCCCAAAGTGCTGGGATTACAGGTGTGAACCACTGTACCCAGCAAAAATTATATTTTAAATACTCACAGCTGCTTGGGAGTCTTGCTCTTGATTAATTCCTGGACCAGAAAAGTACCAAACGCAAATGATGGTCGTCCATGATGTAAGTAATAAGCAAAATTCAGACGTTCTACTACAGCATATTTATTAACCAGGTCAGGGCTAGAGAAATGTGGGAGATGACTCCATGCATCTGGGGGGAAAGTGAAACATTATTAATTCCCTGTACATCACCATGAGTAATTTCAGATTTTCACATGGAAAACTTAACTCTCTGGTTGCTATAATCATTTTGCATCACTATGTATCACTTTGAACCTACCAAAGTCTAATAATTTTATTTTACTTCAACGTGTAGAGGTAGCCTTCATTTTATATAAAGATGTGTACTTCAGAAGTTGCATAAAAACTCTGGTAAGAAATGATGCTCCTCCTACCTTCCTACTAAACTTACCTGTAATTTTATTAGCTTTGTTTCTGTTGAGAGACTCTTTTAGGATCCACAATTAGTACTCTAGAGCTCCCTGTCTCTAACCTTCTGAGTACTTTGAAATCTCTCCTCTCTGGGCTTTTGTGTCCTCATATGTAAAATAAGCAAATTGGGCTAGTTGATCTTGGAGGGCTGTGCCAGCTGGAGTGCTCCATGATATTTTAAGGGAATCTTCCTCCTATGAACGCTGCCATCTTTGAACTCCAGCTTTGGCAGAGGCCTGGGAGGGTCTGGCTGCCAGTGGAATAAGGCATAGTGACTACCAGGGTGCAGAGGGATGTCTTCTCTCCATTTGAGTCTTTCTGTCCACAGCTCATTTCATCTGTTATTACAGATGCTAATGCATGACTGCAGGGAGAATTGCCGTATCTATGACATCCCTATATCTATATCCCAGTATCTGTAACATCCCTAAACCAATGGAGGAGCACTTGCTGGGGAAATAAGAAGGCAGACCCAGAAGTATCTCCTTAGAGGCAATCTACATGCTTATTTTGGGAACTGTGGGAGAGCTAGAGCCATTCTGGCTGAATGTGAAAAACTGATTAAAAAGTAGTAACTTTAGAAGTTGTCCCACTGATTTCATTTGAGGACACTGTTTCCAGGGATGGAAGTCTTTAGTCTGACAAGTCTATTATCTTGGAGGTAACAGGGCTTTAGAGTTATAAAAGCGTGTATTTGAGGCTGGGGTGGTGGCTCACGCCTGTAATCCCAGCACTTTGGGAGGACAGGCAAATCACCTGAGGATGGGAGTTCAAGACCAGCCTGACCAACATGAAGAAGTCCCGTCTCTACTAAAAGTACAAAATTAGCTGGGCATGGTGGCACATGCCTGTAATCCCAGCTACTGAGGAGGCCTTGGGAGGCTGAAGTGGGACAATCTCTTCAGCCCAGGAGGTTGAGGCTGCAGTGATCTATGATCACACCACTGCACTTCAGCCTGGGCAACAGAATGAGACCCTGTCTAAAAAAAAAAAAAAAAAAAAATTACAGAAGAAATTGAAGATACAAACAGCCCAAGTTCATGAATTGGAAGATTAAAATTGTTAAAATGTCCATACTATCCAAAGCTATCTATAGATTTATTGTAATCTCTATCAAAATTCCAATGATATTTTCCACATAAATAGAAAACACAATCCTAAAATTCATATGAAACCACAAAAGACCCTGAACAGGCAAAGCAATCCTGAGCAAAAAGAACAAAACAGAGCTAGGGGCATCACTACCTATTCTCAAAATCTATTGCAAAGATATAGTAAGTAATACATTATGGTATGGGCATAAAAACAGATACACAGAAAAATGGAGCAGAGGCCGGGCATGGTGGCTAACGCCTGTAATCCCAACACTTTGGGAGGCTGAGGTAGGCAGATCACAAGGTCAGTAGATCAAGATCATCCTGGCCAACATGGTGAAACCCCTTCTCTAATAAAAATACAAAAATTAGCCAGGCATGGTGGTAGGCACCTATAGTCCCAGCTACTTGGGAGGCTGAGGCAGGAGAATTGCTTGAATCCAGGAGACAGAGGTTGTGGTGAACAGAGATCACACCATTGCACTCCAGCCTGGGCAACAAGAGTGAGACTCCATTTAAAAGAAAAAAAAATCTGTTAAATATCTGCAAAAACAGCTTTTAAATTCACTCACAAAGGTCATTATGCAACAAAATCCCTTTTAATATACTTACGTGAGTCCTCTATTCACCAAAGCCAACTCACTTTTCCTTCTCCAATAGGTTTTTTTTTTTTGGACACAGGGTCTTGCTCTGTTGCCCAGGCTGGAGAGCTGTGGCATGACCACACTCACTGCAGCTTTGACTTCCTTAACTCAAGCAATGCTCTTGCCTCAGCCTCCTGTAGGACTGTAGGCACACATGACCATGCCTGGCTAATTTTCAAATTTTTCTTTCACCTTCTTGACCCTTATCTTCTATGCCTGGCTAATTTCTTGTAGAGACAGTGTCTTGCTATGTTGTCCAAGCTGGTCTTGAATTTCTGGCCTCAAGCAATCCTTCCACTTCAGCCTCCTAAGTGTTAGGATTACAGGCATGAGCCACTGCACCTGGCCTCCAACAGGTAATAATTTGAGAACATTTTTTCCTCTACACTGATTACCCTTCTATAATCTCCACTTGTTATCACTTACTTTGTAATATAGAGCATGAATATCTTAGAAAGATGGTACCATTTTTCTATTAATAAGACCAGCAGAATAGCTCAGTTTAAAGTTCCTCTAAACCCAAGAAAATATCAGAACAAAAGTGTCTCTCTTTAGAAAAATTTGAACTCAGAAGATGTTCTGATGTGAGTCTAGTCATCTCTTAGTATCGATGTGGGATTGGTTCCTGAACCCCTTGAATACCAAATCCACAGATGGCTGCTCATGTCCCTGTAAAATAGCATACCATTTATATATAGCCTATGCATGTTTTCCCATACACTTTAAATTACTCTAGATCACTTATAATATCTCATCAATATAAATGCTACGTAAATAGTTGTTATACAGTATTTTTAAATTGGTATTTTTTATTGTTCTATTTTTTTTTTAATTGTTTGTTTGTTCTCCCAAATATTTCCCATCTCAGGTTGGTTAAATCCTTGGATGCGGAACCCAAGGAATAGTACATGACAGGAATGGCTATTTCATTCTAACTGGAGTCAGCCCTCCAGTTAGAATGAAATAGCCATTCCTGTCATGTACTATTCAATTGTCTCTTAACCACTTACTGCCTATTTTTCAAAAAAGACAACATTGGGATCTGGTTCCAGAAACCAGTTCTGGAAAACAGTATATCTGCTCTTGTTTTCGAAGTCAAAGCTTATTTCTCAAATAAAGTTGTACCTTCTCATGAAATTCTAAGGACTTTTCATATTGTGACCTGATTCCTAAAAAAAATGCTTGAAGACCCTGGAGCTATCTGTCATCTTACAAAAGTCTTACTTCAAAATACATTTCCCTCTTTGAGACTAACAAATTGTCACATGCCCTATTTGTATTTCTGTGAGAACAGAGTGACTATGGCAACTTGTATTACATATAAAGCCGTTCATTAAATATTTGCTCTGTGTGTGTAAGGAATACAGTAAGTACTGAAATGAGTATTCAAATAGGACCATACTTTTTTAGCAGTTTGGGGCTTAGCGTGGAGACTGTGTATAAGGGAAAATTCAATCTAAAAGGAAATTTTACTCTGGCCTGGTGCAGAAGCCAAGTCACCACACAGTCTTCTTACATCCCTGTTCAGCAGTAAAACCATATGAAAAAAGACGTGAACATTCTAATTAAATACAGTTTTTCCAATTTTATAAATATGTATTATATTTTCATAACAGTTTCATTTGCTTTGTGCTTTATTTCCTCAAATATGTTTTAAACTTCCAAAAACGGCAGGGAACATGCTTTCAACTTCTCTGTGCCTCTACTCTACCTGGCAGACTGCTCAATCTCCAAGAAGAGGTCAAGTTGCCACCTAAGTGACAAGCTGGAGCCATCACAACAGAAGAGGGGATTTTGTCTACTCTCTAGTAACTTCACTGATAAAGGGTATTTCTATTTGATAATGCAATAAGCACTACTTTTTTCAGCATTCAACAAATATTTACTGAACATCTATTATAGGCTTGGCATATACTGGATTCTGGGTATTAGGTAAATTCTATATCAGAATGAACTTGTAGAACATACATTAAGAAATTCGTTTTTAGGCCGGGCGCGGTGGCTCAAGCCTGTAATCCCAGCACTTTGGGAGGCCGAGGCGAGTGGATCACGAGGTCAAGAGATCGAGACCATCCTGGTCAACATGGTGAAACCCCGTCTCTACTAAAACTACAAAAAATTAGCTGGGCATGGTGGTGCGTGCCTATAATCCCAGCTACTCAGGAGGTTGAGGCAGGAGAATTGCCTGAACCCAGGAGGCGGAGGTTGCGGTGAGCCGAGATCACGCCATTGCACTCCAGCCTGGGTAACATGAGTGAAACTCCACCTCAAAAAAAAAAAAAAAAAAAAAAAAAAAGAAATTCGTTTTTGTGTATGTCAATAAGTATATGTGGGGCACATACTATGGTACAAAGTACTAATGCAAAGCCTAATTTAGTGTAATAAAGGCAGAGGCACCATAGGTAACATGATATTAAAGATAAAAGAGAAAAAGAAAAAACAGAGTTTAAGAACAGAAAAAAATAAATCACAGGAAGTCTTATGGTCTTTATAGGACAGCAATGTGTGTGAATCTGGTGCTTAAATGCCTTGCCTCCTTTTATTCTCATGGTAATGTTGTTAGGTGGTCACTGTGATTAATCTTATTTTATAGAGAATTAAAGAAGTTAGATCACATGATCAAGGTCATACAGGTATTAATTACATGGTAGGGCCAGGATTTGTTTAATGCTAACACTTATGCCCTTAATCTTTAAGATACTACGATGGAAATTAAGAATAACTTTTTCAAAGAAAGAAATACAAGCGAATAGTTACATATTACCTTTCTCAGCAAGTACAGCACTATAACCTAATACATTGACTTTTAACGCACCATATGTTTTCAATTCTGTCTTCTGCAAACTATTTTTCCATTGGAATACACCTTTACTTTTAAAATAAAAAGCAATGAGAAAACTAGATTGGCCTTACATATATTAACTTCTATAGTTAACATTGCTAAAACACGTCTCAAGAAGTACTCATGATGACTTACCTCCTATAGCTAGTGTGTTAGCAGACTGCCAGCCAAACAATCTGCTAGGATCAAAGGGTGATAATGACTGAAAAAAAGGGGAAAAGTTAAACAAAATTAGAAGTTCACTGATTCTAAAATAGGTAAACAAAATTACATGAAAGGACTTTAGAGGTAGTCTGCTCCCCCTTTTCCAAGGCAATTTCAGGCTTGTCATTCTGGACATAAATTCTTTAAACACAGCTAAAAACAGAATTAAAAGAGAGCTTTACATTTTCAATTAAAATAGAACTGGTTATGTTCCTTTTAAAGACTCTCCTTATGTCAAACTACATCTGCAAAGTCTATTCTCTTTTGGTGGAGGAAGCATCAATTATAAAGTAAAATGGGCTTCAGAAATGCTTTTGGAATAAAAAACCAAGAGGGCTAAAAGACTAGAAAATGTTACCATGTAAACATGACGAGCTAGAAGCAGGGTAGAGAAGAAAAGGAAAAAAGAAAGAAAAAACAAGATAAATGGTTGAAGGAATGTGATGAGCAACATCATCAGCAACAAAGAAAAAAATAGCAGACCAAGGTCAAGTCAATCAGAAAAGGTTTGCCAGCAGCAAGTAGTGGTTGTTTGGAATTTTTCCAGGCTAAATGTTTAGCAAAGTTCATCAACAGCTGGTGGGAAGAATACAGGAAAAAACAGAATTATTAAGTCAGGATTTGGATGGCCCCAAAAAAGAGTAGTTTTCATTTAAAACTAAGGAAGAAGTTGTGATCTATTAAAGAAGGAATACTTTTCCTAAAATAACCACTAAAAAAATTAAGTAAGTCCACCTAAAAACAGAAAAAAGAACGTGAAACCACTTGTGTTTCAAGCTGATTCAAACTACTTTACATAGTGAAATTATGTTTTTTTGTTTTGTTTGCCTGGGAAAAACACAAGACACAGGGGCATCTGTGACCTGTGCTTTCCCAGTGAAACTATGTTTTTACATAATCCACTTATCATTTGTACCAGTGCAACCTGAAGTGGTGGTCTAAAACAAGACGAGACACTTATGTCAGTATAAATCCAGAATACTGCTTCCATCTTCAAGAAATTCTTGCTACAAAAAAACCCCTACTGAACTAAACAGTGTACTTAGTGACACAGCAGACAGACATTTTGGTGCAAGATACTAATCTTACCACATTCCAGCAACAAGCAGTTTACAAGTGCTGGCCACAATTTTGAGCAGCACTAGGTGATAACTAAGAAGTCTTCACACTACAGTAAGAGATTTTGTGCTTTTATAGAATTATTATTATTTTGAAATATAATCTTGCTCTGTCACCCAGGCTGGAGTGCAATGGTGTGATCTTGACTCACTGCAACTTCCACCTCCGAGGTTCAAGCCATTCTCCTGCCTCAGCCTCCCGAGTAGCTGGGACTATAGGCACATGCCACCATGCCTGGCTAATTTTCGTATTTTTAGTAGAGATGGGGTTTCCCTATGTTGGCTAGGCTGGTCTCTAACTGCTGACCTCAAGTGATCCACCCACTTTGGCCTCCCAAACTGTTGGGTTATAGGCATGAGCCACTGCATCTGGCCCCATTATAGAATTATAAACCTTATGTTGAGTTGAAGATACTATGAGAATATGTGTATTCAGGGGAAAAAAGGAAAAGCCTTTCAAAATGAGAAATGGGAAAAGGAAGGTATTCTTAACCCAGGATCCCTGAATAGGCTTCAGGGAGTCTGTGAATCACTTTGAAATGTAGGTAAAATTATACGCATACGTGTACTTTTTCTGGGTAGAGGGTTTATAGCTTTCTCACATTCTTAGAGGTTCAAAAAAGATTAGAAAGCATTGATTTAAACAAACATCCCTGATTCACTGAGAAGAGATGGTTAGAAGTTAAAAGTGGCATAATGGAGAGACTTTTGATGAAAGCAGCAGACAGGTATGTTAGTCAACTGTTTGCTCTGACCCACCTCCACCCTTCCCACTCTGCTCAGCATTGCAGGAAGCTGTATTTCCCAAGCTCCTTTGCCCCTTTGGCTACCAGATAAATATAGCCACAAAAGACACTGTGGGAGACTAAAGACGGGAAAAAGGAAGCAGCCAAGATACTCTCCCCATTCTTTGTTTTCCTGGGGCAACTCCACCAAGTTTCTACCCCCACACTCTATGCTCCCAGTTCCCATTAGGCAGCCTGGTTGTTAATTTAGCTCCCAGAGATGGCTCCACCTTCTGGGTTCTGGTAACATCACTTTTTTGCATTGTTCTTGCAGGCTTAGGGGTGATGATGACTTGCCTATTTTGCTGCTTTTGGTCTGTCTCACTATCACATGTTTGGTTTCTCTGTTCTGCTATTATGCTGTATAAGTAATTCCCTACATTAAATGCTCCCTAGTTGAAAGACCTAGAGTGATTTCTGTTTTCCTGGCTGAACTCTGATAGACCCAAATATTAGCCACCTAAATACTGTACCTGAATAAGGTGGTAGAGTGTAATATCAGATGGCAGGACACTAGGAGGAGTGCACTGTGGGAAAAGAGCAGTTTTTAGCTTGGGGTAAGGAGTTAATGCCATCTTTAGTAGCTGGGGATCCACTTTCTTCATACAGTTTTCATTTTCTTCATTCTGAACAACCTAAGTAAAAAGACAGATAACAGGTTGGAGAGTAGCATTTTCCCCTTCTCAAAGTTTAAGTCTTTTTTCCCCAAGAACCCTGTGGAAGAAGATTAGCTTGAGAGAGTATGTGGTAGCGAAGATAGCACTAGACAAGTAGTTATAAGTTAACAGTTCTAGTTCTGGTTCTAAGACTAACTATGTGATCTTGGCTAGATATTTAATATCAGGTCTTTGTTTCCACATCTGCAAAATTAGGAAGTTCAGCTAGATCAGTGGTTTTCAAGTTGTATGCGAAGAAAGTGAAAAATGGCTCTGCCAATATTTAATTCACTAATATATCTTTTAAAGTGTTTACAAACTACTCAACTAGATGACTTTTCACTGAACTCTAAAGTTATCCTGTGACTCTAATTTCAGACAGGTGATAAAAAATAGAGGAATAAATATTTGCGTAAGTTAAGGTATACTGCAGCAATCTAAAAAAGGTGGTATTAAGTTAAGCTACCACCAGTAAGAAACTTCTGAAGATTAGATATTAAACACTCTTAACTGCCCTCTAAACAAGCAACTCTACTTCTAAAAAGCAAAGATGGGCACATTTCCACTAGGAACCCACAACAGAGTTTATGGATAGCTGAAGATTATGATTTCCTTTGATCTAAGAGGGCAAATAGTAAAGAATAATTCTTAAGTCATAGATCTAAA